TACAACATTTTTAGATATTTAGGTATTGTTCTAAGAAATTTTTACTAGATAAATTGAAAAATATATGATTTTTGACAAATTAGAAAAAAATTTCAATCTCCAAAAATAAAGTTGATTATAATAAAAGGTTCGAAATAATGTTTTGAACGATCTCTGATAACATAGTAATAATCTGAAATTATGAAAATTTTGCTCGCTTAATAGTTTTGTTGCCTACTATTGAATCATTATGTTATATTCTGAAATTAGTTCATTTATAGATATTTTATTGCAATGCAATGATATATATGCTTATTTGCTTGAAATGTATGACTTTGAGGATATTTGATATGTGGTGGAAGTTTTGTTCTACTACTATATATACAAGGAGTTCTAAGGGTATGAAATTTTGAATATCTCATATGTGCTAAGCATTGAGAGTCATTATGGCATGTTTTTTGATATGCTAACACATGGAATCATAAATGTTTATTTTTGATTGGAGGTATAAGAGCTTGAGGGAAATATTTTATTTTGCTGTTATGATATATAAATTAGTTATTTATTTACTTTTATTACACAACCTATCTTAATTTAGTTACATTATGCTTTATTTCAGTTATAACTTATATGCAATTACTATTATGCCTAACATGATAAACTTATAATGAACTTTTTTTTTAAATTAAGTTAAATGCATAATAAGTCAAATGTTTAAAAATTTTGATTGGTGGGTGTGACCTACTAAGATGTGTTGGCTCACACTTACTCTGCATTATATTTCAGGTCAAGGGGAAAAAGCTTATTGAGTAGCTTAGTATTCAAAATCTGACCTATGTCTATATAGGTTTTTTTTTTGCATAATTATATATTATTATCCAATCATTTTATTTATGGCTGCAACCATATTTGTATTGTAAATGTTTTATATATTGTGAAAATGAATAAAAAGATTTAGAACTTGTGGATGAGTTTATTTTTTATTTATTGGAAGTACATTAGAAGTTCTATGGTCTATATGGTTTACTGAAAGGAATATGAAAAAGTTACTCAAAACTTAGATCTTTGGCTGGCCTATCCCAATTTAATATGGTATGACATGTTTGTTTGTGGGTCATATTGGGTCAAGTTGTGAAATTCCCTATTTGGTATTTGAACGGTTGTTTTGAGGACTTTATTGTGAAATAGAGCTATAGGGAATGGCATGCAGTCAAGTGAGATAGTTATGAGCAATACATTTACATTTATTTCTACTTATTTTTATGTGCATGTCTTTTCAATCGTATATTTTGAGTGGTTACCTAATAATCTACAAGAGCCAGATGAGCAGAGTGCTAGTCAGATAGTAACAATACATAGTACCATGTTTGTTGTTATTTTTTATCTAATTTTACTGTTTGTTAGTCTCATAGCCTAGCTAATGCGAGAAGCCCAAAACAAGGTCTCTTCTTTTAGATTTAATGATGTTGATAAGCACTTACAAATGTTCTTGCGATTGAATTTTTAGAGGTTTCAGGGTATTGTTGAGCCTAGAATGGTAGAAGATTGGTTGATGAGATTGGAAAAGACTTCTGATGAGATGCAGTGTCCTTATATAAGAGGAGAGTACCACTGGATATTTTTTTATTAGATGATGAGACATAGTGCTGGTGGTTGGGCCAAAGGGGAGAAGTTTTGGGGTGCTATATACATATAGAGTTATAAGGGCATACCATTTTGAATATCTGATATATGTTAAGCATTGAGAGTCATAAGGGCATATTTTTATATATGCTGGTACAAGAAGTCATAGGAGTATGTTTCTGATGGGAAGTATAAGAGTTCGAGGGAAATATGCTATTTTTTTATTCTGAAATGTGAAGTGCTAGTTTATTTACTTTTAGTGCATAATCTACCTTACTTCAGTTACAATCTACTTTATTTCAGTTATTTATATTTACTATTATGCATAACATGATAAACTTCTGATGAACTACTTTTAAATTCATTTAAATAAGTACAATGTTTGTAAATTTAGATTGGTGGATGTGATCTATAGAATTGTGTTGACTCACACCTACTATGCATTCTTTTTAGGTCAGAGAATGGGGAAATAGCTGGTTGAGTAACTGAGTGTTCAACATTTGTTCGTCTAAGAAGTCTATATAATTTTTTTTTAAAAAATTTTGTATAGTTATGACTTGTTGTCCAATCATTCTATTTTTTCTATAACCATATACTATATTCTAAAGATTGCATATATATATTTTGATGATGAACAAAGAGGAAGAGAGCCTTGAGCTAGAAGAATCTTAAAGCTTCACTAGAACGCCATCACCAATAAATCCTTGCAGACTAGCCGTTGTTATCGGCACTCAACCTGACCATAGTTGTGCATTCATCGCTAGATAACGATCCTTCGACCTCTGTCTGCCACTGACTATGGTTCTTAGACTAAGGTCACTTGAATACGGTCCACTAACCATCGAGGCCTGACTACGATCATTCCAACCTTTGTCGCTTGCTAACTATAACCCTCTAACTACTATCGCCCTACTACCATCCTCAAATCACTGTCGTCTGACTATAGTCCTCCAAACTCAATCACCAACTATGCTCCACGAACCATCAACGCCCAAGTACGGTCATTCGACCTCAATTGCCGACTATGGTTCTTTCAACATCTAATGCCCACTAACTACAGTCCTCGGACCACCATCGCTACACTATGGTCCTTCCAGCCTCCATTGCCCTACTATGACCCCTTCGATCACTATCGTCGACTACAATCTCATCGATCTCCATCGCCATACTAAGATCCCCCCCTCTATCACTTAACTATAGTCCAACCCACTACAGGAAAATCACTCATTACCGGCGAAATTTTCCGACGGCTAATTTTTCGGCGGCTTTCCGGCGGCTTTCTGACGGAAAATAATGAGACAACTTTCTGATTAAAATTTCCTGCTGTTTCTTTCCCACGAAAATTTCCGGCAGCTTTTTCAGTTTTTCTGAGGAAGTTTATTTAAGACAGCTGCAGTTTTTTTTTAAATGTGATTGTAAAACTGCTGTGAAAAGGTAGTATTTTTAAAGCTGTTGTAGAAAATAACTTTCTAGCATAAATTTTTTTTTTTAAAGCTTTAAAAAAGCTGTTGCCAAAAATAAGTTATGATTGAAATCTAAAAAATAAAACATTAATAAAACTATCCCAAATGAAACTTTCATATGCCCTAGTAGTTAAAATTAGTAGGCATAGAATTAAATGTCTTTGCCTGCCATAATCAATTTATTAAGAAATTGACCTTATCCTAATTTTGCCTTACAGTCGCTTTATGTGACTCTTATGGATTAGATATTTTCTTAAAAAAAAATGTGACTCTTAGGGCTTACACTTTAAAGGAATTATTTTATTTCATTAGGTAAGGTTTAGGGTGTTTTCAAATTAAATATTAATAAAATCAGGTATAATAATTAATATTAATAATGCAATTAATTAAGTATATTTGATGAAATATTACAGTATAATTAAGATTAAGGTTTCATTTGGGACGACTCTCTTATTGCTTACTGAAGCAGCTTTTTAATATAAAATTTTTTAGTTTAAAAAAATTTTGTACTAAAAAGCTGATTTAAAAAATATTAATAGCTGTCCCAAATAAAGCCTAAATTTATATTAATTAATTTGTTGATTGAGCTTTTTTATGTATAGTACATAACAATATGCATCATTTTGGGATGCATTTTTATAGTAAACATTGATATTTGTTTTGATTGTCTACTTCATATTAATTCTTTATAAAGAAAATTTATGTTCATAATTTATCAACTTATTTAATATTTATCATATTGGTATGAAAGCATTTAATGTTCTTTTAATTTGTATTAAAAATAAGCTTCAAAATTAATCATCATTTTGCACAAAAAAATTCTCTATTATTTCATGATCATGTAAAAAAATTATTAAAAATCTAATATTTTTTATAATAATTGAACATTTCTATTTCGTAGCACAATAAAAACATTATTAAAAACATAACATCAGCACAACTGTACAGCCATTGGGTGTACAGAAATCAAACACTTTTCTCTGTCTCTCATTATTCTTCTTAGATATTTTCTTTTCAGATCAGAGAGCATTCAATGAATGTCACTTCAGCTCATAAAAATTAGAGAATTGAAGGTCTATGAGAGGACCCTATTGCCCTAATCCAATCACATAAACTGCTTAACATAAATCAATGGTTCCATGCTCCAAAATCCAAATTTGGGGTGTCAAATTTTGATATGATCCGAATCCGATCTGAAAAAATCCGGATTCGGGTCGATCCGGATAGCAAACGGGTGGAGTTGGGTTCAAAAATCTGATCCGATTTGAGTTTTGGGTCGGGTTGACACGAAAACCCGAAATCGACCCAAAATTGACCAGAAAATTGCTCTTCCCGTATGTGCTGCCCAGCCTGCACGCCTTGCCCGCGAAATGACCCGACGCATCAAGTCTCTCTGTCACTTCATCAGGCGTCACTTGAATCACGCGGCTCATGCGTTCCGGCCGCGAAATGACTTGTCGCTCGCTCGTTGCTGCTGCCCGGCCGAGGCGGGCCCCGGCATGGGCTGCTGCCCGGCCGAGGCGGGCCGCGGCATGGCCGCCCGCCTTTGTGCCGCCGCTCACGCGGTCACTCCAATTCTTCCTCCTTCAGCGACTCCTCCGACGATGATCTTTCCTATAAAATCGGAAGTCGGGACAACCGGCCAGTTTGCTGCGACACCGCCTCGCCGGAACTGGACGTAGCGACGGGAGCTCAATGCGTTCCTTCATGTCAAATCGGAAAATCCGTGTCGGGTTTGGTTGACCCGATCCCGAAACGGGTCGTATTCGTGTCCCAAAAACCGACCCGTTTTTACAAACAGGTCGGGTTCGGCTTGACCCGAACAATGTAAGGTCAATTTTAAGTTCGATCCGAACACGACCCGTGACCCGAAATTGACACCCCTACTCCAAACTTGCTCAGAAGTGAAATTATAAAAGGATTGATGGTCCCTTTGCATGTTATAATAAAGTGGTTCTAAATACCAATAACTCCTTTCAGCTTCTCATTCTTCTCCTTATCGCCTTATCATTCTTGCTTCTTAATTGTTTGTCACCTCACTCTTCCTTCTCTCCTTCTTCCTCTTCCTTCTTCCTCTTCTTGAGATGCTTTCAAGAACTAGAAGCATCTTTCACATTGAAGAAGGGGAAGGGGATTATGATTTCAGTAATGGAGATTTTGCAGTAGACACAGATGGACTTGTTGGGCTTCAGATCCTTATAAAACATGGTGGAATTGATTCCAAAGTCTTGATCAAGTCACCAATGAAGAAGAATAAACCAGAACTTAAGCATTTATCTGCTGAGTTTCTTGAGTCCTGCTACTCATGCAGTAATGAGCTGAGCCTTCAAAAGGAGGTTGACATGTATAGGTATGGATTAGCTATTTAGGCTTCATTTGGGATGACTTTCTTACTTATATCTAAAGCAACTTTTTAGTATAAAATTTTCTTTAACAATAATATTTTGTACTAAAAAGTCGCAGTAAGAAAGCCGTCTCAAACGAAACCTTAATTAGATTTCATTTGGGACAGATTTATAAGTTCATAAGCTATATATCTTTGATGAGAATTCATAGTTAATGATTTGCTTTATTGCTGCTTGTGCAGGGGTGATCAAGGATTTTGTAGTGTGGAGTGTCGGTATAAGCAAATTTTGCAAGATGAGAGAGAAGAAGCTGGTTCAACGAGAAGGCTCAGATTCATGAGGGTGCCTAATCATCAACCAAACAGATCCAAAATTCAAGTATCTAACAACGAGAGATATAAGATCACTGTTGCTGCGTGAATAAGCTTAATACTTTGGTTTTTTTCCTTTTAACCTTTTGTGCGAGGCTTGCAGTAATATAATACAGCCTAAGCTTTAACTGAAGAATGGTAGTATGAAGGCTTAAAATTACATGGATATATTCCTTTTTTTTTTCTTATTTAAATTTTTATAATAAAATAGGAGACTTTATAAACTAGTCAATTGACCCAAATCAATTGCCTTTCACTAAAGCTCAAAAAGGATTTGTAACTTTGTGTGAAGAGTTGTTCTTCTTCCCCCCCACACACACATATATATATGATGAACCTACATGTGTACCTCTAATTTTGTTTGATGGTTTGTAATATATGTGCCACAACGAATCATTATTGACCATCTTTGATGGATTTGGTTTCTTTGTTCTTCGGAAGAAGAAAGTTTTGAATTAGTGTACTTGAAATAGGCATTTTTTTGTCACTAATGCGGAACCTTTCATAAGTTTGTTGATACTCATAACTCCCTTCCTCCTTTTTCCATTCGAAGACATCATTAATGAAAGGTAAATATTCTTTTTTGAGAATTTGTATCCTTAAAGAATCAATTCAACATAATCTAGCTAAAAAATATAAATTATTATTTTCTTAAAATAAACATGGCAGGTGCAGAGATAGGATGCTCAGGTGGATGAGTGGCTTTACCCTTAGAGATATGATACAAAATGAGCATATACGTGAAAAAGTTAGAGTTGTTTCAGTGGAAGATAAGATTAGAGAGAGTCGCCTTAGATGATTTGGTCACATAAAATGGTTGCCTTTCAATGACCCGGTTAGGAAAGTAGAGGTATTACATTTGACTTATGTTAAGAAAGGTAGAGGTAGACCTAAAAAGACTTGGTTAGAAAATAATAGAAATAATCTTTCTTTACTATATTTAAACGAGAATTTGATTTTTAACAGGAAATGGAGAAAAAAGATTCATGCAGACGACCCTACGTAGTGGTACAAAGGCTTGATGTTGTTGTTGTATTAAAATAAACCGTGCAAGGAGAGTTGCATCTTTTTGCATTCCATTTTGATGCATTTTCAGCTAGAAAATTGCCACATTCCATTTGGTTGCATCTTTGTCATGTTAGATATTCTTTTGTTGAAGGCATATAGGTCCAACTAGTTAAACAAAAGAATTAAACCATATGAAACTATCTAAGAATTTCATTCTTCCAAGGCTCCTCCATTTATTCCACTAACTTGCTTTAAGTTAGCAATTCTCAAAATGAATATGATCAATATTCTCTAGATCTCTTAACTATATGTATCTTAGTCTATGATTTATCAATGCCTTGCTTGAAGATTTTAATGTATAATAAACACTATTAAGTAGACTATCTCGGGCAATATTAATCCAAAAAGGCAATATTACTTCAACAATTCAAATCTTTTGCATCATGAAAAAAGTAATTAGAGGGAACCAATGGTCACTAATTTACAGGCTTTTTCAGCATGAAGGCATGAAATGCAAACAATATGCTCTTTATTTAAGCTCACATTCATCACAAACACTATGATCATCCTACAATCAAGACATTATCATTACTTTTGAATGTTTAAATATTTAATTTATCATCATAATCTCAATATCATTAGCCTTATACTATCTATTTGGGATTTAGCTTTATGAATTATATATAGTTCACCATTCATTCCTAATATTATTACATGAGGTGTTAAATCTATTTATGAATCATTTAGTGATGATTTTATTACTACTCAACACTCATTTTGAGTATTTAAATTTGAGGAACTTCGATTAATCAAATGATAGAATCGAGAAAATCCCTCATTTTTCAAAACGTGTTTCTAACTTCAAGCAATCAAATTAGCTCTTTGTATATATCTATTGTACAATCTCTATCATGTTACCATTAGTCTACCATTTTCTTTCCTAATATTTTGAAGTTAATTTAAATACTCAGATGGGGGGAATTGCCCCCCTCCTAAAAAATAAAAAAAATTCTTTATTATATGATTCTTTAAGTAATTTTTCTCTCTCAATATATTTTTTAGTCTTTATTACAACAGTTTTTAGCCAATTGCCCCCCTAAAAGTTCTAAAATACTATGGTCTTTAGTTAATTGCCCCAGCAAATAGTAAAGATATATAATTCATCATTTTATTTATTAATTTCAATTTCAAAAATATCCTTATAACCAAAATTTGTTCCGGTTAGATCGAACCCTGCCAGGGCGCACTTAGACCCCCGAATATCAAGTTTCCTTATTATTTAGAGACCATAGTTACTTCTGATAGCTAAAAGATATCTTTAACGACCATTTTCTTTTTATCTCTATTTTTTTTTGTCGCTATTGACCCATTTTCTTGTAGTGATGGTCAAGCCAAATTCGAAGCAACGCCAACAGTTATAAATTTGTCCTCCATGAAAATTAAGACTAGTTCCTGATGGGGACATTAGAGCATGGAAAGTATATTAGAGGCATGGATGTCGATCTACGACCATGATTAAGTCGATATATTTTTGAGTCATTTCATGTATTTGTTTTTATTATGTTATTTATCTCTTGTTATTTATGTTGTATTTGTTTTTCCTGTTTTATCCCTTACTTAAGGGAGGTCGTATGTAAACCCTACGGGCACTGTCGTCTTTTTATTTTGAGTCATTTTATACGAGACTATTCATAGACCTTATGTTTCTCTTCTAAGGTTAATGATTGAATGAAAAGATATTTCCCATTGCTTGAGTTCATGTGAGATCTTGAGAGTGCATGAGAGAGAAATCCCTAGGAGAGGGAAATTTGGATCACCCACCAACATTGGAGACGGACGTGTTCGTGGTTCTTCTTTTTTGTCTTGTTGTCATCCTTTAGTCATCTCATAAGCCGCCGACCATTTAGACCTCCACCACCACCTGCCGCCTAGGCCCCCAACCCCACTCCCCTCCATGGTCAAACCATCCCCACCGCCGGCCATCCTTGGCTCCTTCCCCATCCCCACGTGCCAAAACACCTTTCCTGAATTACGTCTCATAATTTTGGTAACTCTATTTATGATTAAATTCAAATCAATTTAAATTTGAAATAGTTACCTAATTTAAGAAATCCTATTTTTGGAAACTTACTAAATCAAATTCTATTTAAATTTTAAATTAAGATGGGATGAGATATTTCCTTCCAAACTTAATTTAATATTTTAATTAAACTCCCCCCTCCCACTATAGCCGCCGGCCCCCCTTTGTGAATTAAATTGGGAATTGTTTCCTAAAAGCCCACCTCCTCTATTGGAAACAATTCAAACTCCCTCCCTCCTCCTTGGCCGAAATTCCCATGCCCATGCTTACATAATTTCTTTCCAAATATCTTCTCCTCTATTTGGAATTAAATTAAAACCCCTTTCTCCCCACTAATGCTGCCCCCCTCATTATCCTTCCCCTTCTTTAATTATTCTCAATCTAGAGATTAATTAGAGAGTGGTTGGAATAAATTTCCCAATTAAAATCTCCCCAAAATCTGAACCAAAATTTCTCTAACCCTCTCCCCTTGGCCGGCCACCTACTCCTCCCTTTTCATACTTGGATGCTTGAAAGAAACCTCTCTCTTTCAAGGGGGAAACAACAAGGACAACAAAGGATTATTGCCTTCAATGCTTCAATGCTACTGGATCAATGCATGATTGATCTCGACCTTGATTAAGACCTAGTGTACGACGAGCAAGGCTTCATTCACATCTTCCACTCAACTTTCTTCGATGTCAACTCGAATATCGACAACACCGTCGAGGAATATGTGGAGCGCATTCTAGATACTCTCGTCGAAGTCATAAAGGAGAAACTTGGTACCGTTCAATAGAGGATTACGTCCAAGCCGTGACAAAGGTCTTCCAATTTCCCTACTCTTGTATTTTCATAGTCTAACTCTCTCTTGTGGTTTGATTTCATTCATGAAGGTCTGGTTCGCCTATCTCTGTCGAGCTTAGTAAATGTAGGAATTGAGTGTGCCTTCTATGTGGCTAACTTATTGTTATATTAGAGATTTTGTTGGAGCTATTTACTATGCATGTTATTGAGTTTCTAACTTGTTTTGATATTCCAAGTGTTTGGCAAGTGTGTTAGCCTAAACGTGGACACCCCTCTCTTGTTTTCTTTTGTCGTTTTGACTACTAATAGTTCTAATCATATTCAAGAAATCGTGCAATTCATATCGCAGACACTTAAAACCTTTTAGTCCTGCATCAGTTCCGACCTTGCGCCAACTCCGTGCACATTTTCAAAACCACCAAAAGCATGCTTTTTTACTATCTCCTCTTCAATCAATGCCAATTCCACGTAATGGGCAATAAAAAGGTTACTAATAAACAAATTGAAGTTCATATAAAACGTTCAATCTAGTGTAATACTAAAACGAAAATTTAACTGAGAATCAGCAAACATAGCAGCACATTCGAGCAGTAACAAGGTTCAAGTCCTTATCATTGCTATACTCATATCTAAGTAATTAGCAACTTTAACACAATGAAAGGGGAAAAATTTTGGGGGAAAAAAAACCATTAATGATGCCAGTGCTCTGTATACGCAAGCTCGTCTTCATTTCTCGTAATGTAGCATTGAAATGTATTTTCCACGCAAGTATTTAGGGCATGGCGGAGAAGGGCAACAGGAGGTTACGATGGAGGGAAGAGCTTTATATTTCCAATAAATTACATCTTCTTGTTAGAGTAAACCAAAACATCTTTACTATAATGGAACTCCTAATTCTTGAACAGGTAGTGAATGCTAATAATTTTGATCGACAGACTCTAAGGCTACTATTTTCAGACCTAATTCTCGGAAATTCCGATGCCGCAACATAATATCAATCAATATTATGAAGCACGCCCATTCTACTTTAGATATTAGCATTTCGATTAAGCTATAAACAAGAAAAATATCACGGGCTACATCCTTGAAAGGTATTTCTGCTATTTGTAGCTACTAATTTCATACCTCATGAGGAACTGGCTTAATAATTCTTCGTGTGACAGAAGCTTGAACAGAACACCCTAAATTGCCAGTTCTTCTGTATGTAGCGTAAATCTCGTTAGTCTGTGAACATGCTAGACATCTTCCAAAGCTTCAACAGTCCATTAGCCATGAAAACGCTGCGAGAGTCCCAAAACCCCGAGAAATTATTAGGATGTGTTGACCCAACCAAAATTGGTCACGTGCCCTATTTTGTTTGGAGTCTTGAACGCATTCGGATTATGCACCTAATAATTTCTTCAAAATTTGACATAGATTGAGATGCGGCTGTTTCGGTGCTTCAGTTGCCACTGGAGGTCTGGAGCACCCATGCCAGCTATTGTTGTTACTAGCAGTGTGAATCAAGCCTCATGAGCAAGCTAGGGCTCTCTCGTGAGCCGAGCTCTATGACCTAACCAATTAGCTCACGAGTCAAATAATTTT